AACGTGGGTAAACGCAGGACACACTACAAGTAAAGTATGGGTTGATGATTCTGTAACTTCATCCAGGAGGGCCTTTCTAGATGGACTGTTCACCGGATTAAAAATCCAGCAGGTAAATACGAGTAATAGACAACAATCGGATGTTTTTCAAACCTTGGGAACAAGGTTCTAAACATTAATTCCAGGGGGCAGATAAAACATATTACAAGTAACAAAACTTTTATAACTTTCGATAAAATGCGTGGATGTTTTATTGTCATTTTTACATCATTATATATTTCTTACCCCACCCCCACATGATCCTATATCCATCACCAATCGTATACACATCGAATTGTGCTAATTTACTACAAAGTTACGCAAAGCAGCATCTACTATCTAAAATATGTACTGCGTGACTCTTAATACGTCCCTGCCGAATGTTACAGCGTTCGATGATCACGTGGTCTTGTTTATGTCCGGTCTATCACTTATCTGAATATACTGTAGCTCCAACTTGACATAATATTGTAGGAATATATCTGATTATATTAAGGATTTTTAATGGGTTACTAGCCGACAAAGATGGATACTGCGTCTATTATCATTGATCTGCAGCATTTTGACAAATAAAATGCTTATTTATATAAAAAACAAGCTTACCATCAGACTTGATTATCACCCATTAAATCTACATTTTGCGGCACAGAACAACAGAATTCAGACAGTCCCGCCTGACTTCGGTCCATCGTAACCGTGTCGAACTTCGTACATCCAGAACTGGCCGATACGACCGCTCTTTTGTCCCGAGGGTGTCGAGATTGTCTATAAGATAAAGCTTTTTCCAGTACTACTAACCTTAGGCAGTTCAAAAATGACATTAACAAAATTTCTTTGGGATCCTTATAGCCGCGGTGTGCCGGCGTTTGGTGTAAAAAAATAAAAAGTAGTGAATATTTCAAGGTGACATATAATGCCTTAAGCCGTCCTCATCTCAAGTTGTGATTAAAGGAAGACTCTTCCAAATATTGTTCTGTAACGTGCTTCGAGCCAGAATCACAGTGATTCCTTGTCTAGTAGGCAAAGCCAAAATCCAGTCGGTTATCCTCTAACGTCATATTTCCTTTTTCATGTCCATTATTTCGTAGCTCCGTCTGTAACATATATTCCAATTAAAAAGAGCTGATGCAGGAGCGCAGCTCCAGAGTTGGAGCTGCAGCATGTCAGAATTCTCTGCCGTCCTTTGTCAATTTAAAAGTTAACTTTTATCTAAACGAGCGCGGAAAATGTTCTGCGGAAGTTTACAACTTCTTTTCTGCACGGTTACCTTTTCACTAGACGGATTAACGAGCTGTTATAGTCTAGTTATCTTCAGGGAATTTTAGAGATTGTAAATGTCTATATCAGGTGTGAAAGTAAAGCCAAAAGACAATGTAGAAGCAGATCGTTGGGTCTGCATTTTCTAATAACGTGTGTCCTGAAAGTTTGCATTGGCTAGCATCATGCCATTAGTCAAGAGATACCGAAACACAACATACCTTTTGTTCGCAAAAACGATAGTCATTCGCAGTCTCGCTCAATACAGGATTTTTTCTTCATTAAGTTCTTGTACCAGGTGAATTTTGTACGGATGAAAACTATGGGCCTTTAGAATCAGTTGGACAGTACGTCGACTAACACAACACATAGTCTCCAATTTGCGGGTACTTAACGTAGGATCTACATAAACTTGCCCTAAAACTCCCACTTCTATTGCTGCGTTCCTTATGGGATTTTCAATGTTGCGTTTTTTATTGGCGACTGACCCAGTTTCCCGAAATTTAGCTACAAGTTCTAGAACATATTTTCGATGCACGTTACTGTTCTCATGTCACTCACTAAATATTTCTGCTGTTCTATTAGCGCACCGATTATTTCCGAAAAATATTTCGATAATTTCAACTCTTTCTGCTGTGGAATATACCTTGGTTAATATACTAAGTGACATATAAATCCGAACACCCAGTTTAAATGGTTTTATTTTAGTAAAATTTTGTATAAGTACTTAATGAAGCATAATAAGTAAATGATAAAAATTTCAAAATGATTGCACTGCTTTAAAGCCCTTTGACCTTTAATAATGTGTGGATGCACCCTGATGTGCTACGCATTCTCCAACGCGCCTAGGCATGTTTCTGATCAGGTGGTCAATGTCCTATGGTATCTCATTCCAGGTAACCACCAATTCCTCTCGAAGTGCTTCTAGAGTCTGAGGAGGACGTTGCAAATTGAGCAATCTCCTACCCATCATATCCCACACGTGCTCAATTGGGGATAAGTCGGGAGATCTTGGTGGCCATGGTAACAATGTGATATCATTATGTTGAAAGAAGTCTATTGTGACTCTTGCAACATGTGGTCGGGCATTATCTTGTTGGAAAGTTGGATCTGCCAGGGTGTCAAGATAGGGTAAAAGATGGGGTTCTAGAACTTAGTGGATATAACGCTGCGCGTTCATGTTACCTCTGATGAGGATTAAAGGTGACCTGGAACCATAAGCTATAGCACCGCAAACCATAACTCCAACAGTGTGATGAACATGTCTTTCAACAAAAAACTGTGGATTCCTCCTTTCATCACGTCACCTTCTAACCCTGGCACGACCATCGTGCATGCCTAAACAAAATCGAGACTCGTCACTAAAGACAATACTTCCATTCCTGATCCCAGAGTGACCGTTGTCTGCACCACTCAAGGCGATTACGTCGGTGTTCTCGAGTTAAAGGGAGGACCCAGTGTGGCCGGTATGAAAACAAGCCAAAACTTCTCATTCGTCGGTAAACACTTCGCATGCCAATAGGTCTTCCGTGTTCTGCAAACCATTCATTTGCAATGGACCTGGTAGTGGAGAAACGGTCCCTTAAGGCCAATAATCTTAGGCGGCGATCTTCACGGTCTGTTGTTCTACGGCGGCGTCCAGTGCCCCTTGCTCTTTGCGTACGGCCTTCTTGAAGCCATGCCTGACAACACCTAACCACAGTGTCTACACTTCTTTGCACTCTAACTGCAATTGCCCGAAAAGAAAGTCCAGCTTTCCGAAGTCCCACTATACGGCCCCTATCAAACTCACTAAGTTGACGAAATCGTACAGGTCTCCGTACTCTAGGCATCGTAACCGATCGTAAAGGATGTCAAGAACCAAAATCCGCCAACGTTGATTCTTTACTGCGGCTGAAATATTCATTTTTAGAGCGTTAGTAAATTAAAAAAAAAACAGTATAAAAACCGGAATGTCCAACTGATAAGGCTGAACATTTTTTCACTTGTTATTTACAGTAAGATAAATACATTCACCAACTTTTATTAAAATAAAACCATTTAAACTGGCTGTTCGGATCTATATGTCACTTAGTATATATGTAATAAAGCGTTACAAGTTATTTTAGCAACAAAGTTTGGTCAAATCAATCGCGAACTATGTACTAAATTTCTATTTAAAATAAGTACGCGATATTTCCTTATCTTTCTTCAAGAAATAACTTTTTTGCCACAAAAAACGCTCCAATAGCTATTTTCAACAACAAAATGATAAACAAACCATGGGCTTAGTGAAGAAAGGTATTTACTTATTAAGTAAATGCTTTTAGTCAAATTTCTCGACCCCCCTTTTCATTTAAGATTTTAGGGTTGGTGTCACTCCCGCCCAGGGGGCTGCACGTGTTAACGTGATTTTTTGCGTCCACCCTGTATAAATTTTTTTCATTAAAAAAATCCGATAAATATTTTGCGTCAAAATTTTTAAGACATACATTATTGCAATATTGGTCGCTTGCTCTTAGGTAATGTATGACACCAGTGTCAAAGCTGTACTTCTATCACACTTGAATGAGACTCGACTTCGATGTAAGTAAAACTCATCCCATAAGAAGCTCTCAATATTCAACCGGCGGCAGCAAATACGGATCCTGAAGATGCAATTCGTTCCCCGGCTATTTGAGAGTCTTCGTATTTTCTACAAGTCGTTTTATTTGCTCAACAAAACATCACTCGTCCTGCATGCCGCTAGTTCGGCTTCGGCTGCAGCTTCGGAAGCTAATCAACTTAATTTATATTTACCAAAAAGTTTCCTTGTTGCTTTTTCCGGGATTAATTACCAATGAAAGAATGTTTCCAAGTTAAACAGCAGAAAGATGGCTCGGAATACTTCATTCTGCAAAACTTTTATGAGTCGACTTTAGACGGTATAGTAGGTAGCGAGCAATTTCAATATTTTTTGTATTCGACTGTGAAACAAACTCGTCCAGTCAAGCGGTTGAGCTCGTATCGTTGCTCTTGATGTTGCTACAAAAAAGACCAGGAGGTTATCACAAACAATCTCGTACAGTTTAATGCCTAAAAAACACAGTGCTGTACCTTGACGAGCAAAAAGCATTCTAGCGCTCACCCTGTTTCGATTCAAATTATACTAATCTTAAATAGATAAAAAAATCGTACTAACAAGCTAGCAGTCGTGATGGCCTGGCACTGGGACTTCTGCCACTGCTGCTTCGGTATAAAAGAGTAACAAAAGAGATATTTTAATTTTTTACAACCTCAACCCGTCGCGTTGGTAGCCTTACTCTAATGGTACATCATAAAGGAGACCAGATGCATTTAGAGTGACTTCGGGTTCTGTTCTATTCCGTGATATGTAATCAGCTATTAGAAATGGATCGCTATCAGCATCTATTATGTTGTGTTCGAATAGGCGAACCGAGTAAACAACCAAAATTAAGTAAATGGGTCAATTAGGCATATCACAGACAGGAATAAATAAATAAGACTGATATTAAAATAGAAAGGCATATATATTTTGATCCTGTGGTCTACATACGCATACCTGTATATAAATAATTTTAATTACAATGGAATATTGAGTTTCTCATATCAGGTTCGCCAGGTCAAAGGAATAATTTAAATAATAATTGTGAACACGCGTTGGTTTTTAAATTATGCTTTAAAGCTGAAAACATTTTCCGATATTGATTGATATTTACGTATACGGTACACGTAACTGCAACTATTTGCTTTTCGATTATTGTTGTGCGCGATCTGAATATATTATTTTAGTGCACATTTCATTTGCTACCTTTAGCATAAAAACTAGTAGGCTTGTAATGAATCACCAAAGCCTAGATTGGATGTGCTTTAGCGGTACAGAAGTTTGAAATATACTAAGTGACATATAAATCCGAACACCCAGTTTAAATGGTTTTATTTTAATAAAAGTTGGTGAATGTATTTATCTTACTGTAAATAACAAGTGAAAACATTTTCAGCCTTATCAGTTGGACATTCCGGTTTTTATACTGCTTTTTTTTAATTCACTAACGCTCTAAAAATGAATATTTCAGCCGCAGTAAAGAATCAACGTTGGCGGATTTTGGTTCTTGACATCCTCTACGATCGGTTACGATGCCTAGAGTACGGAGACCAGAACGATTTCGTTAACTTAGTGAGTTTGATAGGGGTAGTATAGTGGGACTTCGGGAAGCTGGACTTTCTTTTCGGGCAATTGCAGTTAGAGTGCAAAGAAGTGTAGACACTGTGGTTAGGTGTTGTCAGGCATGGCTTCGAGAAGGCCGTACGCAAAGAGCAAGGGGCACTGGACGCCGCCGTAGAACAACAGCCTAAGATTATTGGCCTTAAGGGACCGTTTCTCCACTACCAGGTCCATTGCAAATGAATGGTTTGCAGAACACGGAAGACCTGGCATGCGAAGTGTTTACCGACGAATGAGAAGTTTTGGCTTGTTTTCATACCGGCCACACTGGGTCCTCCCTTTAATTCGAGAACACCGACGTAATCGCCTTGAGTGGTGCAGACAACGGTCACTCTGGGATCAGGAATGGAACAGTATTGTCTTTAGTGACGAGACTCGATTTTGATTAGGCATGCACGATGGTCGTGCCAGGGTTAGAAGGTGACGTGGTGAAAGGAGGAATCCACAGTTTTTTCTTGAAAGACATGTTCATCACACTGTTGGAGTTATGGTTTTGGGTGCTCTAGCTTATGGTTCCAGGTCACCTTTAATCTTCATCAGAGGTAACATGAACGCGCATCGTTATATCCACGAAGTTCTAGAACCCCATCTTTTACCCTATCTTGACACCCTGGCAGATCCAACTTTCCAACAAGATAATGCCCGACCACAAGAGTCACAATAGATGTCACATTGTTACCATGGCCACCAAGATCTCCCGACTTATCCCCAATTGAGCACGTGTGGGATATGATGGGTAGGAGATTGCTCAATTTGCAACGTCATCCTCAGACTCTAGAAGCACTTCGAGAGGAGTTGGTGGTTGCCTGGAATGAGATACCACAGGAGGACATTGACCACCTAATCAGAAGCATGCCTAGGCGCGTTGGAGAATGCGTAGCACATCAGGGTGCATCCACACATTATTAAAGGTCAAAGGGCTTTAAAGCAGTGCAATCATTTTGAAATTTTTATCATTTACTTATTATGCTTCATTAAGTACTAAAATTTTATTAAAATAAAACCATTCAAACTGGGTGTTCGGATTTATATGTCACTTAGTATATAATAAGAAAAACATATTATAAAGGCTATAGTTCCGGGGTACAACAAATTATACCGGACGTCTCAGAATCTCTCGAGCTATCGGATGCATATACGAGGGGATATTGATATATTTTTAGCTTACTACAGAAACACTGAACACTTGAACTGAAAATATTTATGATTCAATAACAGTCCCCTTTTAACTTAACACATTTTTTACATCGATCCTGTATAGCTTCTATGCCTTTCGAAAAAAATGTTTGCAAACCAGGTGTCCGACCTTTTATAGTTTTTTTTTGGATTCGGGTAATAATTAGAAGGTAAATAAGGAGGGTGTTCCACCATGGTTCCATTTCATTGATTGTTGTTTTGTCTCGGGATCGTAGAAACGTACTCGTTTTCGATCATAGTCACTAGTCCGTTTAGAAAGCTAGCGTGTTTTAGATATAAGGGAAAGGATTGTACGTAATGTCACCAATCGTGTCTCTTTTTTTTCGTAATGCTTGAACTTATTGACATGAAACTTTGCAATTACACCTCTTATAGTTAATATTGTTGCTAAGGTGAAGGCGCTTTTGTTTTGTGCGTTCTAAGTGGCCAACGCTAACTAGATATCAATACCCCCTAGTAGAAAGCAGAAAATAATGTCTCAAGTTCCTATAGAAAATGTCCTACTAGGTTTCCTTTGCGAGGCACAGGGACATAAATATCGCTACCTGAAATCCATTTTTCTTAAATAATCTTCGACCGACACTCGGTAACCAGTTGAATCATCACGTCACGTTTTCCATGTAAACCAATTTACTCATTTAGATTGTCAGTAATGGACTACCACAAAGTAACGTTGCCGATTTTTCTGTAAAAGATGAATTTTTGTGTTTACAAATCCCTTAAGATCTATTAGAAGGATAAAAACTAAGGAGAGAGTGAGACATGCAGTTTTAGAAGTGTCTGTGGGATACTTTAATATCTAATCAAGGATAGTGAGACGTGAAAATGGAATAAGGATTAAATAACATAGATGCAGAATGATTATTTAGATGTTAAAAGACTGAACATAGCAACAAACACCATGAAATAAGATTACATAATTAGAGTTATTAGAGACTTCTGAGTTGATAAACTGATCAAGGAAAAATTGTAAGTCGAATCGCCTATTTTGCCCTTGAGACTTGGCTACATTAACAATTAGAATTACGAACAAATATAAATACCTGGAGTGGCTGAGTTGATCTACTCGACACAATTTTGACACACTGGCAGATAACAAAATAAACTTACATACCGTTGAATAATCTCCTTTATACACAGTGGATGTCCCCCACCTCAAGGCGCGGAAAGCTTAAGGGTAATGAAAATCACGTATAAAATTAGGGTTTCTGAAAGCTTTTCACTGTTTTAATCATATTCCTCACCTGACCGCATAATAAAGATGAAATTTCTCGGATTATCTGCATTCGCGAGTGCCCGTAAATCTAGCATTCCAGAGCTATTAAATGAAAAATACCATATATCCCGAACCAATTGTATCAACGAGGGCTATTTCAAGGCTATAAAATATGATACTTATCGTCGAACACTACGGCTTTCAGACGCAGCCATACATGAATTTTGATTTACAACCTGGATAACATTTTTTTATTATAATTACAGTTTTAAATTGTAATGATGAGAACGTCCCACAGAATCGTAACATCTGTCTCTGCATTCTCCGCATTGGTTACTGCTTCTGGAACGCCGTTCTTCCTACTTATGAAGTTTCCATCTAGAAGCTCAATATATATTGACCATGCATTGGTTTATTCTTAACGGGGCCCCTACAATCACGAGCACCATCTGCTGAGGTAACGGGGGGGGTGAAAAGGAAACGAGGGTGGGCTGGCCCTAGACGATCTTCGGCGCTACTTTAAAACAGGATGATTGCGGTTGCTTACCAAGGTAAATTTTTATAATAACAGAGTTGGATTTCGATTAGCAATCTAGAATGTAAATCGTTTCCTATTTTGGTACTCAGCAAGTGATCATTTAGTATTTTCCTCCCCTTGTTACTGTTCGTCTTGTTGGTGTGATTGTTCTTGAGTGCCCTTTTTATCAAGGCTCATCATGGACAATAAAGGGTCATATGCGACCATTTTAATTACGGATGCAGTGAGTTTAATTCATGATGAGGTCAACAATAGTGTGGAGCAGTTCAACTCTATAATCGCAAAATACATTGGGGTAAGCGAATAAATTATTGAACAGGTCATACCATGGAAGATGTGCTGCAGCTGTAGTGAGCCACAATACCCAGCGGCCTGCCTATGTGGTCTAAATACATTTGCGTTCTAAGATTAGTCCAACCTCGCTTATCGCTAAGATGGAACAAAGACCCAAACGCAAGAATCTTGAAAAGAAACTCAGACCAAAGAAAGCAGATATAAAAATAACTAACAATACGGATAGCAATTTCAAAGAAAATAAAGAGTTTTATGGCGAAATCAGTCAAAAACCTGACATTAACTACATTGATTTGGAGGTTGCTAAACGAAAATTTTTAGGGAAACTTCAAAAAAGTGACGACGAGATTTTACAGATCGAATAAGTTACCAAATCACAGGACTGTACTTTGTCGCGCCTTCATCGGAGGATAAGGTTGACAGCGTCTCGATTTGGTGAAGTTTGTAGAAGAAGGCAGACAACAAGCTGTAAAGTTCTAGAATACTCCATCATATACCCAACATAGTTTTCTAGTAAGGCAAAAAAAGGCAATACAAAAATCATTGGACGCCGCTGTTCAATCTTGTGGTTTGTTTATTGATCGCACACATCCATTTCTGACAGCATCGCCTCCATCTACCTATTACAGTAGACAAGAAATGTACTTAATCCAAGTATAAGCCTACCTGTTTACTGCTTTGCAAAAACTACCTAACTGTTTCCTCTTATTTTGACGGCATAAGATATTTTTGTTACCATCGTTCAATTGTTATCATGTACCACATGACCCTTGTAACCATAATTGCGTTTATTGACATGAATAAACGGATTTGAATTTGAGTTCTTGAAATTATTTTAGAAAAAATATCAAATTACTTGAATACATTTTTTTTCAGTCGGAACGTACCGTCGCGTCGCTTGGACTGGCAGGACGAAAAATTAGACGAATTTCGCCCAAAAACCGATTTGCACTTCACAGCTTACGTTTCATTTTTTATTTCCAAATGAAACTCTTGCAGCGTGCTAAAAATAAAGTCCACAGGGTGCTAACGATCCAGTTTTTCGATTTTATCCACTAGCATCGTTCTAAAATATCAAGAAGTTGAGCACAATCAGTAAGCATTTCAACCCACCATAATTCTTGCGAAAAGACAAAATTTTGTAAAAAGCTCTGATACCACCTTAGGCAATTATGTCCTGCTTATATCCGGAAAAACATCACAAACTGCAGAACACAAATTGAAGGTAACGACGAAATGGGTACATTTCACGGGTCATGAAATTCAAATGAAAATGCAGCTATAAAATCTACCAAATTATCGTTCTCAAAAACATATTTCCTTGACATATCGATAATTTTAAAGTTCCACGCTAAATTCCCCTATACTTGACTGGAGTGATATCCGAATTCATTCTTCCCTACTGTCGGCAGTTGCAGATAGATCTGTTGGCTCTTGGTGTCAAACCTATAGAGCAGGTACCGATTTTTTCAAATCGTGAACACATTATTCGTAGGATTTTCTTTACTTGAGTTTCCTGTAATCACTGGGATCAGAAGCTTCTTAGTAATAGAACGTGTTTCACTGATATCAAAGATGCAATATTTAGAATCGCCTTCCTCCAACCCCCACTTTTTAATCAGTACAATTTTTTTCTGTCAATGATAAGGAACCCCTGTAATGTCAAAAATGGAGTTTCAGCAATTGTTACTTTTTCTTTGTTGAATATAGCACCGTTACCACTACACTAAAACTACAAAGGTTTGGCATACTAGTGGAAATTTCATACAAATCCGACCGGTAATTTCCAAGTTGATGATGAGTGATATAGTTTTTCGTGATGTAGATGTCAGATGACTAAAAAAAACATAATATCTCATTTTCGAAATTTTTCGCGATTACGATAGTTCCTCGCCACTGGCGTGGGAAGTAGAACGGCTTTAAAATCGAGGACTATCGGCGATCGCGATTATGAGTAGCTATTTGCAGAACGACTTATGTTTCTATGCGATACTATATGAAATAGGGCCACCAAATTATCAACGCTTGGGTTGGCAGCACGAAAGAGTAGACAAAATTCGTCCAAAATAAGATTTGTAGAGGTTTGCGCGCTTCGAAATTGACGCTTTATTTTTTGATCTTTTTGAATGAAATTTTCACAGTGTGCTGAAAACAAAACCCCACAGGGTGCTATTGATCCACTTTTTCATTTTTTTCACTAGACTCTTTTTAAAAAGATCGCGAAGTTAAACAGAAAAAGTGCGCACTTCAACCCATCGTATAACTTGTGCAAAAACAAAATTTCAAAAAGTGATTCTCTAGTACCCTCGGCAATTACTTTCTGAACATACTGTATGAATTTCATTCAAAAATATTGAAAAAGGGAGTGTCAGTTTCGAAGCAGCTGAACCTTTGTAAATGGCTTGAAACTCACTGCGTCGGAGCCGCAAGTCTATTTACTGGGTGCTCTGCGATTTTGCGCTTCATTTCCTGTTTTGTATCACTGCTTCTTTCTTCGATGTTGTACTTCGTCCTGATCCTTTCCACCTCATTCGCTATTGAATACTTTGCTGTTGTTCCTTCTTGCTCTCTAATAACACTGGACAAAAAATTTTAGTTTTTTAATTGTATCTTGTGGGAAAAGTGCACTTCTTTGTTAATTTTGGGACGCTGAATCCAAAAATGGCAATGACATAAAAAAATTAGTTGCGGTTTAGAAAAAAAACTTTTTATTTTTAAGGATATATTAAAAAAAGTAACAAGATTCATATACTTATAAGAATCACTATATGCGCTGTCTTTTTGCTGTTCTTTTATGGATCGTTTCTGGAGCATCTCTACCAAGAGTCCAACAGTAGTCTGCAAGCATGGAAGGATTCCACTTTCCCTGGTACCTTTTTTCCATTGTTGAAATATCCTGATGAAAACGTTCGCCGTGCTCATCACTTACGGCTCCGCAATTGTCAGGAAAAAATTTCCAGGTGTGAGTGTAGGAAATGTATCTTAAGAGAACTATTACAGCCCATCTTTTGATACGATGACAGCATATTTTTGACAAGGGCTTTATAGTTGTCAGCTTTTCTATTTCCCAAGAAATTAGTGACCACCAGACGGAAATCATTCCAAGCAGTTTTTTCAATACCTGTTAAAGTGTTTTCAAACTGTGTATCTTTCAAAATATTTCGAATCTGTGGCCCACCAAAAATACCTTCTTTAACCTTTGCCTCACTTAGTCTTGGAAATTTCTGACGCAGGTATTGAAAAGCTGACGCATCTCTATCTAATACCTTGACAAAGTTTTTCATTAGGCCCAACTTGATATGCAATGGTGGTAATAAAATTTTTTTCGAATCTACTAATGGCATATGCTGTACATTTTTTTGACCTGGCTCTAGGAATTGACGAACAGGCCAGTTTTGTCTGGTGTAATGAAGTGCCTTTGCCTGACTGTCCCATTCACACAAAAAACAGCAAAACTTTGTGTAGCCTAGCTGCAGCCCAACTAAAAGTGCAACAACTTTCAAATCGCCACAAATATGCCATTGGTGCTCATCGTATTTTATGCATGTTAATAGGTACTTCATATTGTCATATGATTCTTTCATGTGAACTGCATACCCTACAGGAAGAGATAGTAAAATATTTCCAATATGCAATAACACTGCCTTTAAACTCAATGTTGAACTGTCTATAAACAATCTCCATTCTTCTGGGTTATAGTTTATATTTAAAGCCGCCAGTAAGCCGTTAATGTTACTGCAGAAAACCAAGTTATTCTCCATATTGAAAAATGGTTCTAAGTCTTTGTGGCGTTTACGAAAAACACATACCGAAACATCGTCTTCTAACAAGTTCCACTGCTGCATTCTTGATCCAAGTAACTCTGCCTTACATTTTGGAAGTTCTAAATCTCTTACAAGATCATTTAATTCTGACTGTGTTATTTTGTGCGGTTGGTGGCATGACGTGCTCGGTATAAAATCAGGATCTCTTGACGTTGATGGCATATCTTCTTCCTGACGAATCACTCGATCACCATGATCTGATTCGTTTTCTGATTCGCAAGTGTAGGATTCTGGGGGTTTTGGAATAGGATTTTCGTCACTGTGAGGCACAGGTCTCATCGCAGATGGTATGTTTGGGCAGTTAATAACCGATTTTTTTTTCTTGGACATACCTGTGGCTTGTCCAACACAAGGTACCATGCAAAAGTAACAATCATTAATATGATTTGTAGGCTCTCTCCAAACCATTGGGACAGCAAAGCGAATAGACCGTTTTTTGCCATTTAACCAGCTCCTCAGACTTGAAGCACATGTATTACAGCAGTTGTGGGGTGCCCACTGTTTGTCTTGATCACCTAGTTTAGAACCGATGTAAAGCTGATATGCCTTTGTTATTAGTGGAGTAATAGACCGTCTCTGAGACACAAAAGTCACATCACCACACACGTAACAAAACTGATCTGGATTGTTTACACACTTTCGAGACATCTTGCATGAACGCTGTCAACCAACTGAGGAAAAAATGTCTAATATAAAACAATATAATGTACACGTATGTATAACGTAACACAATCATGCCGATTACATCATCTTTCCTTGCCGAATATAAAAATGTAGCACGTGCATTCTTGTGAATTACACTATATTAACACTGTCACAGCAGGAACACATATAATTACCGTATCTCTAAAACTTGAACTAATATTGAAAAAATAAGTTTCATTCCGGTTTTAGCACATTAAAAATAGTAATATTTTGTTGATTTTATTTAGGATATTTTTTGTCTGTTGATCAGTGTAATGTTTACAAAACGATCTATATTATTATTAGTAATACTATTCTTTCTTCCAGACCTATCAAGCAGTGCCAAACATTCTTCCGCACCTCCGACAGAAGAAAACAACGCGATAAACCACATTTTCCTCTCGCAGGAGAGTGCTACAGTACGACCGGGTCGTACCCTAGCGATAGCCTGCAAGGCGCAGGGCCATGTCCAGTGGCGGTCCCCCAGCGGGGCCAAGCTGGGCCCGAGGACCAGACCTGTAGTGAGAGAGTTCATCGCTATGGGAAAGGTGTTGATTTTCAATGATACTAGGGCTGCAGATGCTGGGAATTATACGTGTGTGGCCAATGGAACGCAGAAGGTGTTCAGTCTGACAGTTGCCGGTAAGATTGTGCTTTTTGAAATATCGCCGATGAAGTGGGCACCGAAAAAATGGAGGTTTTGAAATCTGTTGATATTGGGCAGTTGGCCCCACTTCAAGATTTGTACCAAAATATGCCTTCATAAACTAAACGTGACTAAGCTATTTACTTCTAAAACAATTTATTTTCTCAAAACATTTTATATACACTCTAGTCGCAAAAAATACATATTTGAAATCACTGAGACCTATAACTAATAGAACATCTGAACAAATAAACAATGTGCGAATAAATGCGCGAAGTTAACAAAGCAAACATTGAAAGATTACCATTGGGAAACATCACCTTTATTTTTTATTACGGCTGAAATTCTTTGGACCATAGTGTTAACCAAGTTTTGGCTAAAATTTGCTGTAAGACAATCCCATATTTCTTGAAGCTTTTGTCTCAGTTCGGTGATTGTACGAGCAGGATGTTGTCGTAGAACCTTTTTCATCTCGTGCCACAAAGTTTCAATAGGTGACGGATCTGGACTGCTAGAAACCCATTTCAAAAGTGGTACATTATTTTCTTCCATCCATTTTACAGGCTTTTTTGAGGTACGGCACGCTGCACCATCTTGCTAAAACACAAAATCTTGGCCGGATGTCAAACATTCTTCCATCGCTGGTAAAAGCGATTCTTCTAAAATTGCCAAATATTTGTTTGTATCCACATTTCCATCAATAAAATGAAGTTTTCCTACTCCTTTTGATGACATACTGCCCCAGACCATAATGGATGCTGGAAATTTCACTTTTCTCTTCAGACAGTCAACATGGAATGATTTATTTGCGAATAACTCTACTGCGACTCTCACCAACACAAACTTCGAATCGGGCCTCATCACTCCATTGTATTGCACACCATTGTCGAGGTGTTCATTGTCTATGTGCTTTAGCCCATCTAAGCCGATTTTTCTTCTACAGTGGAGTTAATAGTGGCTTTTCTGTGGTCTATAAACAAGTTGTACAACTTTAGGGGTTATACTTCGCTTTTTTTTATAAGAAAACTTACCTTGCAAGTGCTAAATCCCAGTTTGTGGGCCTCTCTATGAGTTGTGGACCTCGAAATTCTCCTTCCAACAGTGTCACTCCATAGAGCAGTTAATTCTAAATAATTAGACGCCTGTTTTTTACGATTATTCTTCTTAATGCTCTTCGGTCATCATTTGTGATATTACTTTTTTCCACATATCGTTGCTTAATATTAACTGAAGCAGTTACGTTATATCTTCTAACAATATTTCTCACACTGTACGACGATAAGTCTAACAACAACAACAATTTTGAAAACTTTAACTACCCAAAACTATTTTAAACGTATTATGACAGCTGTGATTAATAAAAACAATTGTCATGGCTTTTATTTTTCACAGCCACCTATGCGTTATAGACTTATTTTGCATTGAAATTAAAATAAGTTGATATGCTGTAATTGCAACATGTGTTATTTTTATGCTGCAAATTTGATTAGGGAGTGATAAAGTTGGCGTTTTCTACTATGTATTATCAAAATATGAACAAAATTTATGGCTTATTTGAAATTGGGATTTTATCGAAGATTTTTTCCAAATTGAAAGGTATCATGTTGGGATATGCTACATTGCGAACTGTATTTTTTTATGAAAAAAAAAAACAAATTCAAACCAAAATTTGGGTAACTTCGCATTTTTTATTTACAACCTTTTTATTCCAAAATAGAACCTAGAGTGTTTCAGATACGTCAGATGTTTTGAAATGGCATGTCGTCAGGCGCTTATTTAGGTCGACTGGTATGCGAGATATTGCATTAGTAGGTTACATTTTGAAGTAAAAAACAAGATAAGTTACTCAAATTGTGGCCTGAGGTATTTACTTCCGGCTTTGTGCCATATTAAATGCCTCAAGCCACAATTTGGGTAACGTCTACTATCTTTATCCTGTTTTCTCTTACTCAAAAATAATAAATAATGCAATATCTCTCAAACCATTCGGACTAAGCAAGCGTCTAACGTCATACATAGGCCAAAGTCACGTAACCTTTTTTTTACTATTTTGATCACTTACTAGTAATGATTTTCTTTTAGTAAATTTCATAGTTTATTGATTGTATAATTTCACACGTATTATACCTTTCTTTCTCAGTGTTTCTCTCCGTTATCTGGTCTCTTATCGAACATATCTTCTTCAAGGCCAGTCATTGAACCTTCGTTTATAAAATTAGGTGTTCTGAGCCAGTAACTTTCCTCCTGAGATTTTGGTGTGACCGCGATTTGTTTAACCTCCAGATTCTGGGATATTAGTAGTTGTGGAGTAGTACCTCTTCATATTGTACCTTGCGTTTAGTTGTTTTGGTTTGGGTGCTACCCCGTCCATTTTCTTATGGGATTTTAATCTTCAGCGTGGGAAGGCATTGCATTGGTTTGAACTGTTTACTTCCGGTTTAGCACTTTGAGATTTATAAAAATTTTCAATTTGGTTTTTATAACAAAAAGTCAAGTAACTTCCCTGTATAAAACTCCTATGTTTCATATCCCGTTATAATACTTTTTAATTCGATCCCATTTCAAATACTCGCTTTCGAAGCAAATGAACGTGCCACAAAGAAAAGAAATCGTGTTTTCCCTTTTACACCTACTAGGTATTGAAACGGGAGCAATAGGAAAAAAATATAAAACCTCACTTTTTTGTGCTGTCCGTCCGCTTCACGTGAAATGTCCCCAATGTGAGCTATTTCAATTATGGTGGATGGATATGGTTATTTCATGACGGGCTTCTACCATTTCTTGAAACCATGTCGAAAAATTTCATGCAAGAGATTTTAAAAATATATGGAAAATGGGTCCCAGTCGATTTGTCTGAAAATTCAGTACGATATATTCCTCATCTTCCTGAACAAAAGCTTTCATGGGATCGAAGCAACCATAAGAGTACTTTAGGCGGAACGTTTGTCCGATTTAAAAAAATGGTGAACGTGCCGGTTATAGATCTCAGATCAACATTTAAAATTGGTTTCCAGAAAGAAGTGTATTAAATTAAAAGAAGCTTGCAGGAAGGTGCTGGGTGGTGCCAAAAGTCTTACAAGGTCAATACAAGGGCACGTTGATTTTCAGATATTAAATCTCGCATCCTGTAGTACTATTAAATAAAAATAAAAGAGACGTTGATTATTATACTAAGTGACATATAAATCCGAACACCCAGTTTAAATGGTTTTATTTTAATAAAAGTTGGTGAATGTATTTATCTTACTGGAAATAACAAGTGACAAAATTTTCAGCCTTATCAGTTGGACATTCCGGTTTTTATACTGCTTTTTTCTAATTCATTAACGCTCTAAAAATGAATATTTCAGCCGCAGTAAAGAATCAACGTTGGCGGATTTTGGTTCTTGACATCCTTTACGATCGGTTACGATGCCTAGAGTACGGAGACCTGTACGATTTCGTCAACTTAGTGAGTTTGATAGGGGCCGTATAGTGGGACTTCGGGAAGCTGGACTTTCTTTTCGGGCAATTGCAGTTAGAGTGCAAAGAAGTGTAGACACTGTGGTTAGGTGTTGTCAGGCATGGCTTCGAGAAGGCCGTACGCAAAGAGCAAGGGGCACTGGACGCCGCCGTAGAACAACAGATCGTGAAGATCGCCGCCTCAGATTATTGGCCTTAAGGGACCGTTTCTCCACTACCAGTTCCATTGCAAATGAATGGTTTGCAGAACACGGAAGACCTATTGGTATGCGAAGTGTTTATCGACGAATGAGAAGTTTTGGCTTGTTTTCATACCGGCCACACTGGGTCCTCCCTTTAACTCGAGAACAGCGACGTAATCGCCATGAGTGGTGCAGACAACGGTCACTCTGGGATCAGGAATGGAACAGTATTACCTTTAGTGACGAGTCTCGATTTTGTTTAGGCATGCACGATGGTCGTGCCAGGGTTAGAAGGCGACGTGGTGAAAGGAGGAATCCACAGTTTTTTGTTGAAAGACATGTTTATCACACTCTTGGAGTTATGGTTTTGGGGTGCTATAGCTTATGGTTCCAGGTCACCTTTAATCTTCATCAGAGGTAACATGAACGCGCAGCGTTATATCCACGAAGTTCTAGAACCCCATCTTTTACCCTATCTTGACACCCTGGCAGATCCAACTTTCCAACAAGATAATGCCCGACCACATGTTGCAAGAGTCACAATAGACTTCTTTCAACATAATGATGTCATATTGTTACCATGGCCACCAAGATCTCCCGACTTATCCCCAATTGAGCACGTGTGGGATATGATGGGTAGGAGATTGCTCAATTTGCAACGTCCTCCTCAGACTCTAGAAGCACTTCGAGAGGAGTTGGTGGTTGCCTGGAATGAGATACCACAGGAGGACATTGACCACCTGATCAGAAGCATGCCTAGGCGCGTTGGAGAATGCGTAGCACATCAGGGTGCATCCACACATTATTAAAGGTCAAACGGCTTTAAAGCAGTGCAATCATTTTGAAATTTTTATCATTTACTTATTATGCTTCATTAAGTACTTATACAAAGTTTTATTAAAATAAAACCAGTTAAACTGGGTGTTCGGATTTATATGTCACTTAGTTTATATGGAAAATGGGTCCCAGTCGATTTGTCTGAAAATTTAGTATGATGTATTCCTTATCTTCCTGAACGAAAGCTCTCATGGGATCGCAGCAACCATGAGAGTACTTTAGGCGGAATAAATTTGTCCGATTTAAAAAAAATGGTGAATGTGCCGGTTATAGATCTCGGACCAAAATTGAAAATTGGTTTCCAGAAAGAAGTGTATTAAATTAAAAAACCTTGTAGGAAGGTGCTGGGTGGTGCCAAAATTCTTACAAGGTCAATACAAGGGCACGTTGATTTTCAGATATTAAATCTCGCATCCTGTAGTACTATTACAAGTTCTTCAAGAATTCAGAAGACTCAACAGGACAGCTTAACTTCTCAAGGGCACAGAAAGGTCGTGGTCGTTTCTGTGTCTTTT